CATATACGCGAATCTGATGTTTGTGGTTTTAGTTAATGCACATTCCTTCCTTTCCAAGTGTTTGATTGGTAGAGGACTCCGTGGCGTCCGAACTGCGTGATACGAAGACTTGAACGGGAGAAGTTGCATGGTGGAAACAAAAGGGGTAGTAGATCCACAGGCTGCTTAAACTTGCCCTCCCTTTAAAACTATTATATTGTCACCCACCGCTTGTGATCCACGCAATTCTGTTCGAACATCGGACGAATTTTTTTCTGGCCATTAAATAAAACCAGAAACGAACGCCTTTTTCGGATAAATGAACCTTCTTAACCACTTGGCTCTACTTAGGGCTCCAATAATTTGAATGAATTGTTGAGAGTTTTTGTTTTGTGCTGCACGCATCTTTAATATCTACGGCAAACAAGAGGAGAGGAGGGACTATAATCGAAATCTGGAATTTGTACGGTAACATGTTGATGTATTTGACACATTCAAAATTCACTTCTATTTCTCTGTAGGTTAACTATCGAGCGCCCTACCTCTACTCCATCTCTCACGTTCGTATCAAACCGAAGGTATGTTTTTTCCCTTGTCTTATTTTTTTACATATAATTGAGCAGCATATGTTTAATTTTAGGTAACTTTGTTCATCTCAGACGAATTGTAAGCTTATTTACTTGGTAACCGCGCATCGAGCAAGCATTAGTAGAGGCCACAGAATGGCAACCATATCGCTTTTGTAATTACCGATTTTTGGTTAACTTCAAGGAGCACAGTCATCACTTCAACAGCACTCTGAACGTGGTACTTCGTCAAATTTAAATTAACATCTTGACCACTGTAATGTGCAGGACACTGGTACAACAATCTCTTCTTTATTTCTCCCCTCTTCACAGCTCAATTTCAGTCTTTCCAAAGACTCCTCCTTCCTTGGAAGCATCTTTGAACCCGCCTCCGTGGAACGCGGACACTCGTTGCGCGCCAGTCTGGCACTTAGCTTGAATTACGGTCTCAATGAAGACGTGATGATGCAAAACCCACAGCAACAACAGCAAAGTTTTTGGATCATTGATTTAGCCGGTCAGGTGTCACACTTCCCAGGTCTCTTTCGACTGAAGGTCTATCCTGAGGAGGCCGGAGGAAGCGGAAGCGGCAGCAGTGGAAGTGGAGCAGACTCGATCGAGGAGCTGGAAGAACATGAAAAAATGCCCGATGGAGAACCTCTTTTGGACTACGAAGTGGGGGTGTTTGAGGAGAATAAATTTGAGGTGAGTAAATTCTGCAAGTCTATATGATCCTATTCTCCCTCCTCCCCTCCCGTTTTCTTGCGTGAAGACTTGACAGGTGTAAAACTCTTTTTACTAATGCTTGCTTTGGCGACATCCTGTTTGCATTACTTTTATCATAAAACGTTAGCCGAAGCTAAGGTGTCTGATTTTAAGAGTGCATGCAAATGACAGAAGGTGCCTTCAAGAAATGGTTTGGTTGGCCTCGAGAATCCTGATAACAAGCAACTCATGCTACAATGCTTTGTGCTTGATAGGCCTGTTTTGGATAGTAATTAAGGCTACGATAGGGGAAAGTTGGGGGGCATAAAGAATCAATGAGTGCGCATACACATAATGATGTCTCAGAAAG